AGCTTAAAAATTTGTTCATGTTCGGCTCGTTAGGCTTAACGAACGAGCCGAACACGAGTTGTTTAACGAGCCAAACATGAGCTGTTTACGAACAATGAGCCAAATTGACAGCCCTATTCCCTGATGACCTTGTGAATGTAAAATATATTTAGTCTGGACATCCGCACTTCCGGACGGCCAAGTGTCATGTCGCCCGATATCGACATGTATGGGGAGATGACACTCGACAGTTGATCATCCAGACGTGCGGTGTCCGGATATAAAATTTTCTCTAGTGAATGAGCCGAGCTGCCGCATTTCCTTTTGATCACCAATATCCTCTCTGATGACCTCTCTTAAAAATTAAATTTTTAGTTCGAACTCGTGAGTCGTCTGCTCGAGCTCGAGCTCGACTCGACTCATTTACACCCCTACTCATAATACAAAATCATACTCTCAACTCTCATTATGCTATTTTAGGAAGGGTTCATTTACATAATTACATATATAACACATAATGAAATTAGGTTACACAATACAGTTAATGTCCTCTGAAGAATAATTAAGCATTATGTAACATATTTGTTTATTTATGTATTTAATAATTAAAATTTATGATTAATTAATTAATAACTAAGAAATTTAAAATTTCATTCATCTAAATAATATTCTTCTTTAACAAAATTAAAAAAAAAAATCAATTATGATCCACACAACCTATAATAAATATTTTTAGGCAAATCAAAGAGCATCTTAATAGTTAATTATTTATTTATTCAATTTTAATTTTTACTTAGTTTAAAATAATTGATAGATTTAATTTTTATATTTTTATTATTATTCTTTTCTATTTTATGAATCCAAAGGCTATGTTGGTCCAAATAGGTGCAGTGGCACGTGTGTGCATCATTACATAGCAGACTGCCAAGCTTCTTCTGTTTCTCTGAAGGCTAATAAGGACTTGCTAGGTGTGTTGGATTAGGAAGCATGGACTAGAGATATATATTTAAAAAGTGATGGTTGTAGAAAAACTACGATTTGTCTTTTTTTTAAAAAGTGATGGTTGTAAAACAGGTTCTTCTACAGCTACTAATTCAAATAGCTATAACTGTCCTGAGCAGACCCTAGCCTTTGGATTATTCAATTCAATTGGATTTTGATTTTGGGTTATTATTCTGATTTTTATTATAGCTTTTTTTTTTTAAGTTTTAGATCCTTTCTCTGGTTCCGACTTGTTGTGAATATCTTCATGTGGGAGGAGGCCAAAAGCTTCATGAGGAGTAGGAGAATCCCATCTCCAGCCTTTGAACTACTGCCTGCCACTGCCACAATTAAATCATTAAGAATTTGATAAAAATGAAAAATATGAATTACGGTTTTACTTACCAAGGAATTTAATATAGATGAAAAAGGGGACGAGGGTGATAGATTAGTAAATAGCAATGTTTTGGGTGTTTAGTATGTATTTGCCCCAGTTCTTTATTGTAACAATGTTGCTGTGAAGAAGCAAGAGCTGCAATGCATGACTGGACAAAAATAAATCTAAAAGAAAGCGACATGTTAAAGAAAATGATTGCCTAAAAGCCATGTAGATGGTTGAAGAAAGGTTAATTTTCAAAGCATGATGGGAGAAGCGGGGAACTAATTTTCATTATGTTTTGTTCAAGTGGCATCAATCAACACCGTCTACATCTAGTCCCAAGCCTTTTATATACTATACAGAATTGGTGTAATCTTACTTCACATTTTGGATACATACCATCTGCGCCGAAAAACAAATAAGAAAAAGGATCACACCCACCAACACTGACTTTATTTCCAGAAACTGCCTCATTTGTGTAGCCAAATTCAGGTTTGGCCATATTTTAATTTGGTTTCAAACCTTTTCACATAAAGAGAGTGAAAATAATTGCACTTATGCTGCAGCTTATGAGTAAAACTAGAACCTGGAGTCGTCATCTCTTAGGTGAGCTATATGGAGTTTGGATTCTGAGTTCTGAAATGTCCAGAGAAGGGTCTGTGAAATTATGGCTTGGCCTGACTTGATAGAGATAATGGTTGCTTGGCCCATAGGTGAGTGCTCCAGCTGAGTAGGCTGGATGTATGGGAGATGGAACACAGCTTCTATTGAACTGTATTTGCTGGTGTCGAGGGCTCGAGCACGGTGAGACCGGCAATGACATGTTCATTCTCATGCCCATAAGATCACTACAACAACATATATGATTTGGGGGTTAGTTAGACCAAGGTTTAGGGTTATCATTGAATAAAGGAGTCATGTCTGCAATTAGACAGGGCTACGCCCAAGGATCTAAGGGTTTATTTAGGACAGCTACAGTTTGTGAAAGTAATTGTAAAATTATTGTGGGAAAATATGTTTTTTTGGAAGTTATTATTAAGTATTTTATATTCTTTTCTTTTGAAGGAAATCAAGCAACTTTCTCATTGCTACTACAGCCTGACGGATCTGGTTGTAAGTTGCTGCTGTTTCAAAAATTTTTAAAAAGCACATAAAACCAAAATGGACTCTATGAGAGGATGGAGATAAAAATACCTTGCATTTTCATGCACAAGGGGGATCGCAACTCCGTGTCCTGTTTCATAGTTTTTACCACGTAGAGGAGAAACACTTCTGTTGTTCCGATAATCCATGGCAGCTTGGCCACGGTGTCCCAGTTCATATTTCTTATCGCGTAAAGGAGAGACACTCCTGTTGCTGTGATAGTCCTTACAAGCCTATTTCAAATGATTGTAAAAATCAGGTTTAGATGAGAATGTAAACGAAATTTAACAATTCAATAATTCACCTCTGTGAAGAGTGACAGTTGTTTGATATATTCAATAATAAAGTATAGTAAACAAAATGAAAACAAGTCCATTTTATAACGACTATTCCATGAATAGTTAAACAGAAGTACAACTTGACTCTATAGAACAAAATTAAGCCAAATAAAAAATGAGCATCAGTATATGACTTGCTATAACGTTTATCTCATCTCCATATCAAAACAAAGTTCACAATTAGATTAAAGAGCTTTTCGACTTTTTAAAATAAAAAGATTTAAAATATGAAGCCGCATTGAGGGGCGTGTTTCACATAATGGCTATTTCTAACAAGTTTAATCAATTGAAATTTTATAAGAGAGTTAATGGGTAACAACAAAAGAGGTACTTTTTGTGATATTCATATAGATGGTATCCCTATGACAATATACAAGTTTTGTTATCTAAAAGTGAGTTTATTAGAAGCTTGAACTACATTAAAGAGAGCGACATTGCTGGAGGAATCGTCCAAATCATGATATCTTCTGTTTTCGATACTGTTCGTTTGTCGAAAGAGTATTTTCCCCCAAAAAAAGCTAGAAAAAAACTCTCATAAAATTGCAAATTCAATGTTATAATCTGGCAAAAAAACTGGTACGTTAATATGTAGGGAAGATGCAAAAGCGCTTTTGTTAGAGCCTTGTTTGAGAATCCAAAAAAAACTGTGGAAGGAAATGGCTGTGAGTATCTGCGGTTAGTCATGAAGTAAAGATTCACCAAGAACGATGTAGTAAATAACTATCAATCCAAGTAAACAATGTGCACTGGAGGAGATGGCTTAAGTTTCGTTGGTTCTTAAGGACTCATTTCTTACATACATCAGTTCTAATTATACTTAAAAACAAGGGACATAATGCAAAAATAAAACGCTAGGATCAATAACTGCTTTTTTCCATCACTTGCGCTTATTTGTTTCTACGATATCTTCAAACATCACAAAGATGTACATACTTGTTCAATGATTCAATACAAATAAAAAATGAAAAGGCAAAATTTCAAATGGAACCAAATTTATCATTTATCTTTTTAATGAATAGTTGCAGTTTAGACAATGATGATGTTAACTCCAATTTAACCTAGAGGTCACAGCATCAAACAATGAAAAAAAAATAAACTCCAACGTTAGCAGGAGCTTCATGCAACCGGAGCTTCCTGATTTTGGTTAGGGCTGTAAACAAGTCGAGCTTGAGCCAGCTCAGGCTTAGCTCATGTTCGGCTCGTTCAAAATAGCTCGTGTTCGAAATCAGTTGTTCAAAATTGGCTCGTGAACAATGTGTTTCTGTTCGGCTCGATTTCAATATTATTGCTCGAAATTGATACGTTAAACTAAAATTGAAAAAAATAGATGTAAAGTGTGGGATTTGCACCTGAATCAAATCCATACAAAAGAAAATACTAACCACATTGTCACATGAGGTTTTATGATTTAAACTTAGACATAAATATATATAATATATTATTATATAAATAATATATGTAATATATTATTATATAAAAAAAATATATAATTTTTTTTTCGAGCCATTTCGAGCCGAACAAGAGCGAATAAACTGTTGTTCGTGTTCGACTCGTTAGGCTTAACGAACGGGCCGAACATGAGCTGCTTAACGAGCCGAACACGAGTTGTTCACGAACAATGAGCCAAATTGACAGCCCTACTCAAGATGCGTAGATTTATTTTCGGTTGATCAAGCAGCTTCTCCCGATATCTCCCGAAATTATTTAATCGAAACGTCAACTTCTTACCGTTTTAAAATTCAGACGAAAATGTCCGTTCCTCCGCAAGACTTATAAAGGTAAGTGCGGCCACACAGAAAAAATAATTTAATTTAGCTAGAATATAAAATCAATTTGTATACATTCTATCACTTAAAAGAAGACTTTATGAAATTTTTATTAATGTGAATGATTGAATATTATTAACATTAAAGTTTGAATATTTATGCACTGAGAGATATATGAAGGTGCCAAACTTGGGAATATCAATCAGCCAATAATCAGGAGAACAATAAAAGAATCAGAATCGTTGCCTAACACTTGTGCCCATAGACAAGTCTTTTATGAGCATTTAATTGCATGTATATATATATATATTCTTTTTTATTGTGGCATATATATATATATATATATATATATATATATATATAATCTGTTTCCAGCTGGAAGAAGGCTGCAAGAAATTCTCTTGTTAGATTATGACCCACCACCAAAACATCTAATTATACTAAAAAAATATTGAATAAATAGTTTTCGGTAATCATAACAGTTGACCGCATAATATTAAATGGATTATACAAATTGCTATGTGATCAAATATAAAATATATGATTAAGGAAGCTAAGAAATTGGATTAACGGTCGATTTAATTCTATTCAAGTAAACAGAGAATTATGCAAGCTCGTGATATATTGCACAAAACAAAAGTTGGTTGGTGACTTCTAACTATGGGTGTGCACCGTGCTTTTATTGTGTGGCGACACTACTTTTTGCCTGCTCTCTCAAAAGCTATTGTTGAAATCTGCATTTTGGAACCTTAACTGATTAAGGGTCCGTTTGGGGAGGTGGTTTTCGCGCGGGGCGGTTGGGGGCCACGAATCTCAGTCATTTGGGGCGGGCGTTTTGATCGCGATGGCTGTAGTAAAACGCGGGTCGCAAGTTCCATCCCGCAGCTCCGTTTCCTCTTGTATCTTTTACGCGTTTGCCTCTCGTTTCGACCTCATGTTCGTCTTCTACACTTTCCTTCCCCGTGGAGCTCCTATTTCCTCTGCCCTAACCATTCGTTCCGGTATCCCATTTTCCTATATTTGCTTTGAGACATTTTCGTTTCTCGTAGATCTACACCGGATGGATTTGGCTGCGTTCTTTTTTTGGATGCTTCTGTTTGGTGATGGTAGCATATCTACTGAAATTCAGTACTGATACCTCTTGGGACAATTAATAAAAAAATACTGTAAGAAAAGACATATCATATTTATCATCCTCTTTATACTCACTGATATGAGACATGTATAGTGTGGTCTATTTGAGCATGCTCTTGCAAACCAAATTGCAAATGTTATGATAAGAAAAGCTATTTTCCACACACACACACAAAATCTATGAAGTGAGGCATTGTATCAGATAGACCGAAAAAAGTTCTATGATATTAGGCTTTGCAACTGAAATTCATTACTGATACCCCTTGGAGTATTTAATAAAAAAAGTATTGTAAGAAAAGGCATAGATTATCATTGTCATCATCTTTTATGCTAAATGCTAGGAGACGAGTGTAGTTTTGGTCTGTTTGAGCATGCTCATGCAAACTAATTTCAAATGTTATGCTTATGCTAAGAAAAACATTTAAGAAAAACATTTTTGCTCACACAAACACACTATCTGAAGTGAGGAGTTACATCAGATAGGTCTAGAAATTTTCTGTGATAGAATGTTACGCATTGCTACTAAAATTCAGTACTGATACCACTTGGGGCATATAATGAAAAAAATTGGTAAGAAAGAGCACATATCATCTTTATCATCATCTTTATGCTCATTGTTAGAAAACTATAGTTGTGGTAAGTTTGAGCATGTTCATGCAAATTGAATTGCAAATGTTATGCTAAGAAAAGCTATTTTCCTCGCACACACAAAAACTATGAAATGAGTCATTGCATCACATAGGCCGAGAAGATTTCTGTGATAAAATATTATGCTTTGCTAGTGAAATTCATTACTGATGCCACTTGGGACATTCAATGAAAAATTTTTGTAAGAAAAGATGGATCATCTTTTTCATCATCTTTATGCTCAATGCTAGGAGACTTATGTAGTTGTGATCTGTTTGAACATGCTCATGCAAACCGAATTGCAAATGTATGCAAGGAAAAGGATTTTTCTCTCACACACACTGTATGAAACGAGGCTTTGTATCGGATAGCCCCAGAAAATTTCTATGATAGAATATTATGCATTGCTACTGAAATTTAGTACTGATCCCCCTTGGACATATAATGAAAAATAAAATTGTAAAAAAAGACAGACCATTTTTACCATCATCTTTATGCTCAGTGTTAGAACCCATGTATAGTTGTGGCATGTATGAGAATGCTCATTCAAACCTAATCAGAAAACTTATGCTAAGAAAAACATTTTTTATCATACACACACATACTTTGAAGTGAGACATTGCATCGGATAGCCCCAGAAAATTTCTGTGGTAGATTATGTATTGCTTCTAAAATTCAGTACTGATACCCCTTGAGGCATATAATGAAAAGAAAAATATAAGAAAGGGCACATACCATCTTTGTCATCATCTTTATGCTCACTACTAGGTGACATGTATAGTTGTATATGTTTGAGCATACTCGTTCAAACCTAATATGAAAAGTTATGTTAAAAAAAACATTTTTTACACACACGCACTCTCTAAAGTGAGACATTGCTTCACATGGCCCAAGAAAATTTCTATGATAGAATATTATGCAATTGCTACTGAAATTCAGTACTGACACCCCTTGGGTCATTCAATGAAAAAATATTGTAAGAAATGCACAAATCATCTTCGTCATCATCTTCATGTTCACTGCTAGAAGATGATCCGTTTGAACATGCTCATGCACACCAGTTTCAAATGTTATGACAAGAAAGATATTTTTTCTCTCACACACACACTATCTGAAGTGAGGTGTTGCATCAAGTAAACCCATAAAATATCTATGATAGAATATTATGCATAACATATTCGATCCATATCATCTTTGCCATCATCTTTAATACTTTTTTTTCTTTTTTTTGCACTCTTGGTACTCACTGTTAAGTGAGGTGTGTATCTAAATTTTTGTACTATTCTGAAATAAATTTATGCTTCTGAATTATCAAATATATGACTATAACAATTCTGTTAAAAACAACATTACCAAGCAGTGACAGAATGATCATTTGTTCAGAAACA